TGATCTAAAGCCCAATGTGTGTTGGTTCCTTTGTTCACTTCCAATTTCTGTGTGCAGATGCGAAAGCTGGACCGCGAAGAAAGCTTAACAGGAGGCGCATCAACTCATTTGAAATGTGAGGCTGGAGGACCACAAACAAATGGGTCTTAGATACAAATCAAGCCCGAAATTTCCCAAGATGGCTAAACTGAGGCTGTTGTGCTTTGGGCATAGCATGAAATGACATGACTCCCTGGGAGAGCCAATAATGCTCATTGAAATGGAAGGCGGTAGGAGAAGAGGAAGACTCCATGACAAGGAGACAGAATTGAGAGCCAGCATGGTGTAGTGGTTTGAGCATTGGATTATAACTCTAGAGACCAAGGTTCGGATTCCCACTTGGCCACAGCAACCCACTGGGTGATGTTAGGTGAGTCACACTCTCTCAGCCTCAGACAAGGCAAGTGCCAACTCCCTTCTGCAACAAATCTTGCAAAGAAAACCCTGTGATAGTTTCGCTTTGCGGTTGCCATAAATCAAAAATGACTTGAAGGCACACAACAATAAAGAATCCGTCAAGGAAGCTGAGTTTGCAAGACCTGAGCAGGGCAATTGATGTCCAGGGTTTATAGAGGCCTCTCTTTCATAGGATTGCCATAAGTCAAAGTCTACTTGACAGCAAATAACAGCAGCCTGTTTTCTGTTGTCTTAGAGCCCAATGTGTGTTTGTGTGTGTGCTATCTTTCTTTCGCATTTTTTGCTGAAGATATATGTGAAAACAATTCAATTGGCCTGCTTCCCAAGGCACCAGCACTCTTAGGCAGAGGAGGCTAAAGACTTTGTAGAGCTACAAATCCCAGGATTGCATAGGATGGTGCTCCCTCCGCATGTGTGTGCTTGTGTGTTGTGTGCCTTCAAGCCATTTCTGACTTACGCCAACCTTAACACGAACCTATTCTGGGGTTTCCTTGGCAAGATTGATTCAAAAGAGGTTTGCCATGGCTTTCCCCCGAGGCTGAGAGCATGTGACTTGCCCAAGGTCACCCAGTGGGTTTCATGACCAAGTTGGGACTCAAACCCTTGTCTCTAGAGTCGTAGTCCAACTCTCAGTACACATCAACAAGTAACCAGCGTCTTTGAGGGAAAGAAATCAGATAGAGGAAGCATTTCTTGGAACGGCTAGAAACGCTTGCCAAAAAACCCCAACCTTCCCCCAAACACCTGTAAGTACTTTTAGCTTAGTTCTAATTATCACTCTCTTACAACTGAGCTGGGAGTCAGGTATCTAGATCATCTCTTTGTCAGATGCACACCCTGTTTCTCATTCCCAAGTGATCATTTTGTGCACACTTTTCTTTCTTGTGCAGGCGACAGACTTCATGGTGTGTCCTGTTTTTCCATGTTGCTTTGCAACCTTGCCTGGCTGATTGATTATCCCATAGTGCTTTCCCTTCTAATATGTATGTTCCAAATGGCCTGATGGATGTTTTCAAGCCGACATCCCCTTTGTTAATATTTGCTTCTGTGCTCATTAATGTCTCTCCAGCCCCTGACCCGTCTCCTTTGATGCACTGACACCTTCCTTTGGTGGCTCCATCTTCTCTGGCGTTCACCTTGGGGGCTCGCATGCCTCTCTTCGGTCCCATTCACTGCTGGCTCCTAATGGCCATTTTTAATCTTGTTGTCCCTAATAGGATTCTTGCCCGGCGTATCTGAAATGTGTAGGTATGGATTTTGCAGCTCCGGGTAATAACATGAGCTAATGTGTGGGAGGGTTAAAGCTGCATCTTAGCATTCACTTTGTGCTTTGATCGAGGCAGTGGAGTTCAGGATTCATATACACAACGCATTGTGAAGGGTGCCTGTAAAAAGAAATGGCAAGCCTTCCCTTTTGAATGTGCATTCTGTGTAAGAGCTGGACCATTTCTGTTTGTTACTGGAGAAAAAGGGAAGAGCACAATGTTTGCATATTATGTGCTGCAACCTGTTGATTTATGGCAACTCTGTGGATTTCACAGGGTCTTCTTAGGCAAGGGGTGTTCAGAGTCAGTTTGCCACTGCTTTCCTCTGAAACTAAAGTTGCAAGATCTCAGAATTTGGGCTTGAGTTTCCAGCTTTCAAGGGCCATCTCCAGGCAGGAGAAAAGGGTTCAAATTCTCCAGTTTTGGAGGGCTTAGCTTAGCTTAGAGGAAAGGGCTGAGAGCAAATCTTGAGCAATTGCTCTTATACTCTACTGTCTGTTTTTAGGAGTGGTGTAGACTCGAGTCGACTGACTTGGACTCAAGTCGGACTCAAGTCACTTCAATGACTTGGCTTGGCAATAAATGATGCACTGTCTCGACTTCACTCATTCAGATTGCAACTTGTATACTTTTAGTGATTGACTTGTTGGCATCATTCACTTCGAGCAGCAGCCAAGATCTGCCCTCAGAGCACAGGATGCTTTTCTTGAAGGGAAACAGCAAATGTGTTAGGCAACAGGCTTGAGACAGAAGGATCCTTCTTCTAAAGCTTTTGAAAAGCATTAGAAAACTCCTCCGATGTGCAGCAGAGACAACCTGCCAAGCAGACCTGAACTCCCACCTCGAGTCTATTGCTGAATGCATTTGTTGTCCCCCTCCGAGAAACATGCCTTGTCTCCTCGTTTTTTCTGTTAAAGTGAGTTCCCAGACTTGAGAGACCTGACTTGAGAGTATCTTGCAAGGACTTGTGATTCAGCTTCAGATTTGAAGGTAGAGACCTGAGATCTGACTCATGACTTGGAGTAAAAGATTTGAGTGCTGTGGGCCCTTGGTATTTGCTGGGGTTTGGTTCTAGGTCACCAAAACCTATGGATATCCAAGTCCCATTAAATACAATGGATAGTAAAATGGTGCCCCTTATACAAAATGGCAAAATTAAGGTTTGCTTATATATATTTGTTGTTAACTGCTTTCACATCAGTCTCGACCCATGGCGACCCACTGGATAAGACATCTCCAGGCTTCCTCTCCTGTCCTCTCCTGCTCTGCCCAGCTCCTGCAAACTCATACTCATGGTCTCTTTAATAAAGTTCATCCATCTAGCATCTGGCCTTCCTCTCTTTCTACTTCCCTCTAGCATTATTTTCCTAGCATTATTGTCTTTTCCAATGAGTTCTCCCTTCTCATGATGTACCTGAAGTATGACAGCCTCCATTTGGTCATCTTGGCTTCCAGGGTGCTTTCTAGCTTGATCTGCTTTAGGACCCATTTGTTTGTCCTTTTGGCCATCCATAGGATTCTCAGCACTCTTCTCCAGCACCACATTATCTCAAATGCATTGA